CGGCCCAAGTTCTAGGCCTGACGTACACCCCCTCCCCCCCGCCTAGTGTTCGGCGCCTGTTTTTCTGGACCCCCGTGCCCCCGGAGTGACCTTGCAGAAGCGAGGTAGCGTCTTGCTGAGCACTGGCACGCATATATCCACAAAGCGGGAGTTGTAGGTAAACAGCCCTTCAGAAACAAGGGCATGTAGCGCAGTTGGTAGCGCGCTCGCTTAGCAGGCCAAGGCCAAGTCCGGATTTGAACCGGCACGGCTTACGTAAGCAACATGCGAGAGGTCTCCGGTTCAAATCCGGACTTGTCCACTTTCTTTTTGCCCGTAACTGGACGAAAACTGACTCCATTTTGCTTGTGAAGGGCTACGGAGTTCCACCGCTTGAGGGAGATGGTCACGTGATAACTCATGTGCTAAGCGCCGACTAATATAATTAATTACTTGTGTAGAGCAGAAAGGAAGTTTGGAAACGATCCTGCATCTCTCCACTAAAAACATTCATGTTGGTGTCCGTTAACGGCCTAGCTGGCCCTAGTTTACCCGCCACCCACTGCCCCTTTGCGCTCAGAATATTTGTCGAGTTTGAACGCCGAGTTTTCGAGTAAACAGGGGTTGCCTCCAAATGGGTATCATCACTTGCCGAGCTCGGTCTCGGCCAACCGATAGACCTTTCTCGATCGATGGACCCGTCAACTGCGACCATCTGGGCGCTTCACTATGCAGCAAGCGCCTGAAATCCACCAAGTCGGGATTTGTTGGTAGGTATTTGCGGCTGCCCCAAACCGCTCACGAGCTAACGAAGAGCGCATATATAGCACAATTATTCACTGGAAAGGTGCCTTGAACCGGGCATGTTAGTACCCCAGCGGAGTTACGGATCTTGTGCGGATAGGGGGCGTTCGAGACCACATACAATCGTTTCTGTTCCTTCCATAACTGGCGATCCTTGCTGCTCCGCCGAGTGGGCTTGTTTGGTTCAGGAGCTCGTAGAGGAATATATAAACCTGGGCGAGACGACGTTTTCCTGCACCCATCCACCACCACCTCCCTCCCCCTTCTCCTCCCTCTCCACGTCGTCCCTGGTTTCTTACTCGTAAGTGATTTTGGAGGTTTGTTTACCATTTGGCTAATAGTCGTTGGCATTTCTCGTCCTTTCCCTCCAAGTCCCCTGTCTTGCTTGTCTTTCCTACTCGATGACTCGTCCTCGTTAAGTTCACTTTAAAAGAGCTATAAGCCACTAAAAGACGCAAAAGAGGCATAAAAGAGGGAAAATACCCCATTAAACAAGGGCCGCCCACCCAAACAAAAAGTCCCCCCCCTAAAAAAAGACAGAAAAACAAAAGAGAAAAAGAGTCCACAAAGCGTCATTGAAAGTAACAAAAAAAAAAGAATGATAAAAGGACCATTGGGGGACGCCAAATAAAAACAGGTTTGGGCGCATCCTGGGCGACGGGGGAGTCCAGCCGGTGCAGACGCGGCACCTCTCGAGAGGCTGGGCTCCTGTCATGCTTTGTACGTTTTCTCTTTTCTTCTGTGATGACGTCTGAAACTGACTGTGCTTGTTTTTTCTTTCGATATCTTGTTCTCTGGATGGTGGGCGACTGTTGTGTGTGCGTGCGATGAGAGCTGGGTGGAGGTTTGTGGTGTACGGCACGGTTGTACCCTGTATGCTACTCAAGAAATAAAAAGTACATGGTGCATCTGCAGTAGCAATTCGTTGGAGGGTCATTTCAAAAGAGGACCTTTTTGGAACCAAGATGTGGCCTACCCTTTCGGACCAAAAACGCAAACTCGATTGGTACCGGATCCCTGGAGGTAACATTGTCGTCATCAACCTACATCTCTGTTCCTGGCGGTTACATGTTCCTTCTTGTGTTCCTTGTTTACACAACTTGTGTAAACAAGTGAAATCAGCCGTTTGTACAGTACCAATCTTTTAGCTCGCATCGATCCATGCATATATCGTCCCCTGCCACCCCTTGGAATCTTACAAACGTACACATCGTTTAGTTCATAGTTATCTTCAACAAGGGAGCTAGAGCGCAGGCCGCTCTGATTCCACGAGCTGACCTTGGACCTCTTTCACGACCTCGCCTAAGACATCTACATAGACAGGCGAGATCTTTCCCAACGAGCGGACTGTGACGCCCCCAATACGGAAGGGTAGGAGCCGATTTGAATTTCGTCAGATTTAAGGCTCGCTTGAAGAGACGTCAGGTAAGGCGCGATAGCTGATTCAGGCAGTCTAAGAGTAGTGTTACATTAGGAGTAATCAGAGTAGAGCTGATTCTTTCGAAACTGCTGAAACTTCATCCAGTTTTTCTAGCGGAAGAAGAACCAACGAAATTCTCAAAAGTTTCAGGCTAGTCTGATTACCACTATTATTATGAGCAGGGGGATACACGGTGGCGGATAGCCTACTGAGCCAGTACCATATGCCAAAAATTTATATCAGACTTGCAAGCATTTCAATATTTACCCTTCCCTCCCAATATAGAACTATAATCCCGAGTTAAACCAATCTTGGATTCCCTTTTTAAGAAACTGCGTATCTGCCTCCCCGGACGGGAGTGGATGTAGTTCGTCAAGGCTGGTAGGCCTCTGTGCAGTGGCATGTACTAGCACGGAGCCCCAAACACCGTTTGAAGGACCAGGCCTGGGGACAATTGGCGGTGAGACCCTCCTGCAAAGTCGTTCGCGCAGGCGACCGACAAG